ACTATTTCTGTTGTTCAATTATTGTTTCTAACTCCGTGGAATCATCAGTCATTTCCTCAAGTCTTGCATTCATCCATTAACTTCACCCTACTGGGTTTGGGTTTGACCCAGTTTTGCTACATTCTGGAGATCTCAAATGCAAAATCTGATAATCTGAAATTTAGAAATCTGTGGCATCTCTCCTCCTTGATGTGATGAGAAGGAAAGGTGTAACTCGTTGCTAACTATCTACAGCTACCTCAGCTGAAGAGAAAGCAAGGGAGATAGCAAGTGTAATTCCCCATTTCCCCTATTCTGTAGGGTTTATTCATTTTGTCTTTCATAAGCAAGGTTACTATTAACTGGATTTCAGTTTTTGCTCTATTGATCTTCAGTGTGAAACATCATTTTAGTTTTCAGCTTAGCAGACATTCCCAGAAGCCAATATAGCAAGGGGCATATTTTCACATGATAGAATGCAGCTCAGGGAATGATTGGAGCAAATAAAAATGTTTTGGGTTGGTGTTGCAGACACAGAGAATGCCTGGATTCATTCTGGAACCTCTCCAGTGCTTGTTATGAATGTTTTCCCAGAGATGGTTCTCCAGTGAGACCACACTTCTTAGTGGTAAAAAATAGAATGAACTCACATCTGTCATTGCCTGCCTCTCAAAACCAATCTTTGCAAGCCTTGCAGCCCGGGGCCTGGGTTTTTCTTGCAAGAGTTAAGAAACAAACTAGAGGCACACCAAAAATTTAAAAATAAAAATTCATTAGATTTCAATTCTTCCTGCAGAGCTATGTCCTATTAGGGCTGCTGATATATAAAGTCCTGCCTGGGCTGCAGACCATCACCAACTAAACACTGGGTAGTTCTTCCGGAGAGAACAGGTCTTCCTGAAGCCAGACTCAGAGAACAAAGACACTGGCACCAAATTTGTAAGAGAGCAGGAATATCTTGGTAATCCATTGACTGTGCAATGGTTCTTTCTCTCATGGACTTCCAGAGGTTGAGAGGTCCTGCAATACAGTTCAGGATAGGACTTGTGAAGAGCCTTGTGTTAATGGGGAATGGTTTCCTTGAGCTGTAGTTTGTTGACAAATTAGGGGGAGCAATAGGGATCCTTCCAAAATAGCAGCCATCCTTGTAGAAATATCTTGCCCAAATCTTGCCAATTGCAGCTGCTCCAATAGATGGTGCCTCTAACTCTTTTACTGTTTTTTGTTTTTTTTTTTGAGCAGTGAGAAAGCTTTATTTAAAAGTATACACTTATAGGAGAGTGTGGGTGACCTCAGAGAGGTGGCACACTAAAAGCCTGGGGATTCTATCTTTTAAGCATTTTCAGTAATGTGACAAAGGGCCAGGGGTACAGACTTGTAAAGTAGTCTCAAGATGCTTATCTCTGGTGAGAGACACCATGTTTCCTCTTCTCCATTATCAGTCCTCCAGGTAATTCTGCAAAATTAACTTAACACAAGAAATTGCTCAGTTCCTCTCCGGGATAGTGGCTTCCTTCTGGGAACATATCTTACTGTCTTATTTTATAATAAATTTTCCAGTACTAATCCAAGTGTTTTTTTTTTTCCTCCTTGGGCTTTTAAAGAATATGTCATGTTGTTGATGCTTTTGATTCTCTTTGAAAAAAGGTAAAATAAGCATAGTTCTTATAGATGAAGAAATTGTAGAAAGGCAAAAAACTAGGACTATCATAACGAGTTTTCGTGCAGTTTCACGTGAATGAAAGAAACCACAAATGAACTAAGCATGAAAATAGGTAAAGAACTGAGAAATATAAAAATGAGCTTCCACTAACAATTCTTAAATTTAATTTTTCTCTAGGCATTTCCAGTGCTTTGTATTTTCCGAATTTCTGCAGCTGAAGATTCTCCTCTGAGAAGATAATCCACTCACTTTTTATTTGTGGAGACTGGACACATTTATAAACATTAGTAATTATTTCCATAGGAAGTCATCACTGCAGGAAGCAGGCAAAACTCAGAAAATGATGTAGCCTTGCCAGTCTTTAGAGAGGTTGCAGCACTAACGGGCGATTTAAGTACTGTCTGACAAGTGCTGGGGGAAACCTAGGGAGCTACAGGAGCATCTAGGAGAGATACAAAGGCCAGGAAGTGAGAAAGCACAGGGACTAGTCAAAGGAAATCTAAGAAGGAGTTGCAAATTGCAGAGGTAGGGGTGGCTTGTTGATGGGATGCCCTCTAAGCTGAGATCTGAAGGGAGAGCAGGAGCCAGCCAATGGGGTGAATGGGAAGGAGTGAGTGGGAAACAGGACCCTGTTCCAGGGAGAGGAGTAGGGACAGTATCTTCGAAGATCTTAGGGAGACAGCAAGGCCTAGTTCAGGAAAAGTTAAGAGCAGTATCTTCAGGGCACTTTAGAAAAGTCCCTTAGGGGCTCTTAACCTCTTCTGTGATATAGACCCCTTTGGCAGTCTGGTGAAGCCTATGGGTCCCTTCTCAGAATATTGTTTTTAAATTCATAAAAGGAGCAAAACTCAGAAAATGATGTAGCCTTGCCAGTCTTTAGAGAGGTTGCAGCACTAACGGGCGATTTAAGTACTGTCTGACAAGTGCTGGGGGAAACCTAGGGAGCTACAGGAGCATCTAGGAGAGATACAAAGGCCAGGAAGTGAGAAAGCACAGGGACTAGTCAAAGGAAATCTAAGAAGGAGTTGCAAATTGCAGAGGTAGGGGTGGCTTGTTGATGGGATGCCCTCTAAGCTGAGATCTGAAGGGAGAGCAGGAGCCAGCCAATGGGGTGAATGGGAAGGAGTGAGTGGGAAACAGGACCCTGTTCCAGGGAGAGGAGTAGGGACAGTATCTTCGAAGATCTTAGGGAGACAGCAAGGCCTAGTTCAGGAAAAGTTAAGAGCAGTATCTTCAGGGCACTTTAGAAAAGTCCCTTAGGGGCTCTTAACCTCTTCTGTGATATAGACCCCTTTGGCAGTCTGGTGAAGCCTATGGGTCCCTTCTCAGAATATTGTTTTTAAATTCATAAAAGGCAACCAATTACAGTTATCAAAATATTTTTAAAATCTGTGATATAACAATCCTTATAAATGCATAACATTACAAGATCTAATGGCAGATCTAATAGCTACCATTATTTTGAAATACATGAGCAAAAGCAGTATGGTAATGTTATATTCTATTGTGACATCTGTGATTTCTATTGGAGACAATAATCACAGGAAGGTAAATGTTATTGTAGTCCATTGCTTACCTTTATTGAAGGAAGGGTTTTCAAACATAGATTAGTGAAAATAAAGTTTCAATGTTTTCCCTAACCAAGTAACCAATTGAATTCTATCCATGGATCCATTAGGAGTGTATGGAACCCGCAGAGAAACCCTTCCCAGCAGCACGGTAGGGAATGGACTGGAGAGCAAGTCTGAAGTGAGGTGCTATGGGGACCCAAAGCCCTCAGTTCACAGAGGTATCAACAGTCCCAAGGGATCTGGATTTAAGAGAGAGGAGCTAGTAGAGCTGGCAGAGCAGGGGCTTTGGCCTTCCCATCCTCAGTACCACAAACCCTACTGAAGCACCTGTCAGGTGCCAGGTCCTGGGGCACCATGAGGTGTTGACAGCTTCCTGGGGAACAGAACATATAAACATTTTTGCAAGGGATTGATGAATGCTGTTTACTAATCTCCAGCCTGATACAGGATGGTTGTTAAGAGCCGCCAGAGTTCAAAAGACTTGAGTTACACTGCCCTTTCTGCAATTACAGAAGCTGTATAACCTTGGGCAAGTTTATCTTTGTGTCCTCATCTATAAAATGGAGTCATAAAAATGTCTGTCATGATCACAGGGTTATGATGAGTTAAAATGATGTAATTCATGATGGTGCCTGTAGATAATAAATACTGAATAAATAAAGGTTGTTAAATGTGAGCGAATGAAATGGAATGAATCTGCCTGAGGGCATTCCAAGAGGGGAATCGCTTTATTTTTTTTCTGCTTCCTGTTACTCCCTCATTGCTTAAATCCAAGAGGATTTAACACCATCTGGAAAGGTAGACATGTCACAGGTCTTCAATCTCTGGTTTCTAGATACTACCAAGATTCCACCTGTTGTCAACATCTTTTTAATGTTTTTCAATGTAAACTTTTCTTGAGCACCTGCAGCCTGCTGGGGGCTAGGAGAGAATCCTAAACATCTGTCTTGCAGGAGCTTTTGAAGTGAAACCTGATATTTCATTGCAAGGACAGGTATTAAAAACCGTGGGTTAAGAGTGCACAATAATTGAAGCCCCTCGGTCAGGAGCTAGGTTAATTAATATGGAGCAGAACAGCATTAGGGCATACGGGAATGGCAATCGTGGAATTCTATATACTGCTGTTTAGTTGATACAAAAAGAAACTAACTGCGGCACGGACATTTTCTAAGATGTCTCTTTCCTTCTTTCTTTACCTATAAGGTTAGAATGTTCCAAAAATTGTCTTTCAAGCATGTCAAACTGAAATTGATAGTGCTATTGTAGTTGACTAATAAATAGTCACTGGAATATTCAACTGCACTCCGCGAACGAATTTACTTTCACTTGTTCAAATCCGAGGCAAAACGGAATACCGACGAGGATGGGATTCGAACCCACGCGTGCAGAGCACAATGGATTAGCAGTCCATCGCCTTAACCACTCGGCCACCTCGTCCCAGAAGTCTACGTCTTCGTAGTAACTATAGGGAGTAATACTAGGGGGATGTGACGCACTGTTATGGAAGCCGCCATTTTGTACGGAAGCAAAGATACGATCATTTTTATAACAATCAAAATAAGATGGCCGCCCCCTTGATGTGAGGGATCTGCAAAGGGGAAAGGCAAAATAAAATTGGGAAGAAAATGAGATAACCTTGAAGGAAATAAAGTCGGCAAACAGGCTGAAAAGTTTGATAAAAGGAGTTTTAAGAATAGGGTTGCTCTGGCGTCTGAAGGGCGGAGCCGACGCGTAGCGCGATATTGCGCATGCGCAATACGAAGGCGGTTAGATTTGAATACCTCTCTGAGGCCGTCTGGGCGTCGTGAGGTGAATTCGAGGGGCGGCGGTGAGAAGCTTGCCCTCTGTGGAGCGCGCTGGGCCCCAGACAAGTCTGAGGATAATTTGTCGAGCAGTTGGGCTGAGACGGGTAAAAAGAATGACCCTTTCGTTCTGGGATCCTGGGGTGGGGACTTTAGGTTTTGCTTGAGCGCTCTGAGGGCCCCGCGGTGGGAAGTGGGGGAAGGTCCCTCAGCCTGGAAGCCTCTGAAAGAGCTGGGCGCAGAATAGACACTTCTCCCCGGGTTGGGGGCTCTTCTTTCCTCACCTCGGCCAGCACCTCTTTCTTGCGTCCCTCCTTCCTAGCGCTTCTCCCGCCACGCCTGGCTCCGCGGCCGGCTGGGATTACCAGTCGGTGGCTGAGTCAGCGCCGCGCCCGGGGCGCCCCGCCCCGCCATCTTCTGTCAGGGCTCCCGGACCCTTCCTCGCGAACCCCTGCCGTTTTTCTCTAGGGAACTCAAGTCTGTATTTCCGGCTCGGTCTTTCTTAGCTATAACTGAAGTAACAGCAATAACTGATTTTAAATTCTCGGCTTGTCGCGGTTTATTTAGTGTCTGATCCAGATGCTGGCAGCACTGGACATTCGGTTTCCTGAAGATGTACTAACAAATTAAGCCAATATTGTAGTACGCCGCAAATGAGTTTTTAAAATTTTCCCTCTGTCCCTATTAACTCAGAGTTAAAGTCCCTTTTCTTGCTATTTACACTAGAGTTAAAGAAAAAATATTTTTAAAAATTGCCTGTTGGAATTTTAAAGGTAGGTTTGCAGCGATATGACAGCTTACTCTAGATACTAACATTGAAGTTTTCACTCCATTTGAACTGAATCAATCAAATTCCTCAAATACTCGGTTCCTGTTGTCTTGTGCTAGGGCTAGCAGCGGATGGTTCAGAGTCCCTAACCTAGAAGAGTTTACAGTCCGGAAAGGAGAATAATTAATATATACGAATAACTATAATACTAGACAATGTAGAAGATTATAGGACTTATAAAGTGGTCCTTTAGGACCCATAGGTCCTTCTATAGAACAAAAAAGGGAAAGCTTATTTGATGCTTTGGCTTGGAGACTAAAGGAGGTTTCATTGAATAAGTGCCATTTGAGGTGAAACTTGAAGGGAAGAATGATTTACAGACATAAAAAATGTTAAGATTTTGCTAATTAAAGGTTGGGTTCCAAGCAGTATAATTCTTGATTATATGAAGGCTTGGGAGTGTTTACAAGACAAATAGATGTAAACTGAGTAGAAATGTTTATAGTGGTAGTATTAATGATGTGTTTGGTGCTAAATAAAAGACTAGAAAACACTACATGTTTATATTGAAAGGGCAGTGCTATCCAATAAAACTTTCAGTGATAATTGTAATGTTTTATATCTACACTGTCCAACACAATGCCCACTAGTCACATGACACTATTAAGCACTTGAAATGTGGCTATAGTGACTGAAGAACTGAGTTTTAAATTTTATTTCATTGTAATTAATTTAAATTTAAATAGCTACTGTATTTGGACAGCACAGGTCTACAACCTGTATCAGTGGGTAATGGTGGTATAAATGCAGGATGTGGACAAAGAACCAGATAGTAAATATTTCATGCTTTGTAGGCTGAATGGTCTCTGGCATGGTCTCTGTCACATATTCTTTGTTTTTTGTTTTGTTTTCTACAACCCATTCAGAAATGTATAACACCACTCTTAAGGATCCATTTGTCCCAGTAGCCATACTTTGCAGAGTGTCAGGGTTATTTAGACTTGTAGTTCCCAAACTTCCTTGGCTCATGGTACTCTGAGGCCAAAAATATACCTAACAATTCCATTTATTACATGAGGCTCAAACAACTTAAAAAGTTGCTAAGTTGAAATAAATTTACATCCTAAACACTTAGTAGTCATTTGAAAAATATATGTATACATTGAAGGAAAAGAAATTTTATTCTTAAGTAATCACAATTATTTACTAATTGGATGTGTGTACCTGTTGAACATTGCACAACTTCTCAAATTTTAGAAACAGATTTGACACTGCAACCCTCATTTCCTGTACCACAATGATAAAAAGAACTTGCTTTATATATCACAGCAACTGCCAAAAATCAAGCTTTGCAATAATACGTTATCAAAACTAACACAATGCAAGTGACACTATTTTGAGACAGTAGTTGATACAGTGGGATGGTAGTTCACACAGTGCCTGACAAATGTCAAGGATTGTTGTTCCTCTCAAAAATGTAAACATCCCAGGACACCTTTGTGATATGCTATAATACTGCTGCATGCCAGGTGCAGAGCTTTGGGACCAATCAATAATAAATGTGGCAGTGATCAAGAGTTCTACCATAATAGCATTTTACAAATGAGGCTTCATGTGAGGATATGGGGCCTCCTATTTTTATTGCAAGTGGAACTTACAGTTATATAATACAATATTTTTAAAGAGGGCTTCAGTAAGTTTAGAATATCAACAATTGAGTACCAACTTGTCCACAGTTTTGACAAAGAATGATACTCATGACTATTTCAAATTGTGAAGATGTTTAGGTGATCCTAATTTACTAGTATTTAATATTTAAATGTGAGTTTTTTTCCCGAAAGGAGAAGAAATTTGCAAATTGGTGATTGTAAAGGTAACTTAAAAGAATTGTTTCTTAATTACTCATTCAGCAAATGTTTATTGAGCTCCTATTATTTACAAAGTACTATGCTAGGTTCTTAGAATATACCAGTGGACATGTGAGACACTAACTTTATTCTCATAGAGTTGAGGCAAGGGTAGTTTGGGGAGAGAGCAGAAATAATTTACTTATCAGACTTAATTGCAGACATGGTAATGCTGCAAAGAAGACATACACAGTGTTACAAAGAATGCTTTTTCTCGGCTTTCTTGCCAAGAGAAAATAGCAAATATAAATTCATTGACTCAGGAAAGAGCTTTGTGTGGGCAGGAATAGAAATGCCAATATGGCTAGCATAATGAGTGAGGAAGACAATGGGATAAGGTTATAAGTGTGAAGTTTGGGAGGCAAGCAGGGACCAAATCTTGTAGAGCTTAGCACATCCTGGTGAATAATTTATTGTCGGTACAATGAGAAACCATTGAAGGGTTTTAAGTAGGGATTGTCTTAAATGTGATTTATGTTTAAGAAGATGCCTACTATTCAGAGAAAGGATTTTAGGAGGATAAGAGTGAAAGGATGAAGACCAGTGAAGTGAATATTGCAATATTCTCTGTGAGAGGGGATGGTAGCTTGAACTATGGGGATAGCACTGAAGATATAAGTGAATGGATTTGGGAGACATACATACCTCATTTTATTGAACTTCACAGATAGTGCATTTTTTACAAGTTGAAGGTTTGTGACAACCCTGTGTCAAGTCTATCAATGTCATTTTTGTAACAGCATTTCTTCACTTTGTGTCTCTGTGTTACATTTTGGTAATTATGGAAATATTCCAAGCTTTTCCATTATTTTTTTTCTTTTTCTTTTGCTATTATTAATGTACAATTATATAAACAACATTATGGTTACTAGACTCTCCCTATTATCAAGTCCCGACCACATACCCCATTATGGTCACTGTCTATCAGTGTAGTAAGATGCTATAGAATCACTACTTGTCTTTCCTGTGTTATACTGCCTTCCCCGTGTCACCCCCCCCTACATTCTATGTGCTAATCGTAATGACCCTTTTCTCTCCCCTTATCCCTCCCTTCCCACCCTCCTCCCCAATCCCTTTCCCTTTGGTAACTGTTAGTTCATTCTTGGGTTCTGTGATTCTGCTGCTGTTTTGTTCCTTCAGGTTTTGCATTGTTCTTATACTCCACAGATAAGTGAAATCATTTGATACTGTCTTTCTCTGCCGGGCTTATTTCACTGAGCATAATACCCTCTAGTTCCATCCATGTTGTTGCAAATGGTAGGATTTGTTTTCTTCTTATGGCTGAATAATATTCCATTGTGTATATGTACCACATCTTCTGTATCTGTTCATGTCCTGATGGACACTTAGGTTGCTTCCATTTCTTGGCTATTGTAAATAGTGCTGTGATAAACATTGGGGTGCGTCTGTCTTTTTCAAACTGGACTGCTGCATTCTTAGGGTAAATTCCTAGGAGTGGAATTCCTGGGTCAAATGATATTTCTATTTTGAGTTTTTTTGAGGAACCTCCATACCGCTTTCCACAATGATTGAACTAGTTTACATTCCCACCAGCAATGTAGGAGGGTTCCCCTTTCTCCACATCCTCACGAACATTTGTTGTTGTCGTTTGGAAGGTGGCCATCCTAACTGGAAGGAGGTCTTATCTCATTGTGGTTTTAATTTGCATTTCTCTGATGACTAGCAATGTGGAGCATCTTTTCATGTGCCTGTTGGCCATCTGAATTTTTTCTTTGGTGAAATGTCTGCTCAGCTCCTCTGCCCATTTTTTAATTGGATTATTTGCTTTATGTTTGTTGAGGGACGTGAGGTCTTTATATAATTTGATGTCAACCCCTTGTCAGATATGTCATTTATGAATATATTCTCCCATACTGTAGGATGTCTTTTTGTTCTACTGATGGTGTCCTTTGCTGTACAGAAGCTTTTTAGTTTGATATAGTCCCACTTGTTCATTTTTGCTTTCGTTTCCCTTGCCCGGAGAGATATGCTCATGAAGTTACTCATGTTTATATCCAAGAGATTTTGTTGTTGTTGTTATCATTAATCTACAATTACATGAAGAACATTATGTTTACTAGGGTCCCCCCTTCACCAAGTCTCCCCCACAAACCCCATCAGTCACTGTCCATCAGCATAGTAAGATGTCGCAGAATCACTACTTGTCTTCTCTGTGTTGCACAGCCGCCCCCCACATTATGCATGCTAATTGTAATACCCCCTTTCTTTTTCCCCACGCTTATCCCTCCCTTCCCTCCCATTCTCCCCAGTCCCTTTCCCTTTGGTAACTGTCAGTCCATTCTTGGGTTCTGTGATTCTGCTGCTGTTCTGTTCCTTCAGTTTTTCTTTGTTCTTATACTCCACATATGAGTGAAATCATTTGGTATTTGTCTTTCTCCACCTGGCTTATTTCACTGAGCATAATACTCTC